GCACCGAGGCGCTCGGTGCCGGGGCTGGGCGCGCTGAGGGAGGATCCGGGCTAAGTGCCGCCTCCATGAGGAGCTGCCGAAGCCTAAAGTCCCGCTCCTTCCTTGTCCGAGGCTTGAAGGCCTTGCAGATCTGGCACTTATCTGCGTGGTGGGATTCCCCGAGGCACTTCAAGCAGGAGGTGTGCGGGTCGCTCGTGGGCATAGGCTTCGCGCAGGAGGCGCACTGCTTGAATCCAGGAGCCTTGGGCATGAGCCCGGCGAAGCGCCGAGGGGAAAAAAAAGGGGTGGGGGAGAACGACCCCCTTAATCCCCAGTTGACAGTTTAAACTACAAAACTAACTAACTATCTAAAAACATCTTAACAACTATAAACAACTCTAAACAACTATCTAGACTAATGAAAAACGAATAAAGCTAGGGAGTGTGGAGATCAGCTATGCCGCGCTCCACAGTTCCAACGACCGTCAGGGGCGGTAAGAAGGAACTGAGGGGGCGCTGGGTCGGCTGGGGTATATATCCAGCGCCATAACGGCGCCACTCCAGGGGGCTCCACAGCCGACCCACCGGGTGTTGCTAGGGTAAAAATCTTCCGACGATCGTGCACGCGGCGCGCACACACCTAACTGGAATGGATGTGAGCAAGCACTCGAAGAAGAACCCATGTTTCATGAAGTTAAAAACAGGGTCATTTTGACATGAAATTATCATCCAGGAATGTTTCAGCCAGCAATATTCTCTCATTACATTGCCTGAGGCCTTAACACCCCAATGAACTATTGCTTCAACAACCTCACAATATACTGCATGATGGTTCAGTACTCTAGTGCATTAATATACCAAGCATCTTTTGCTGTATCCTATTACCCAAATGTATTAATGCTTCAATAATCTGCTTTAGCATGTTGCACAAAGCCTTAACACACCAGGATTTAGTGCTGTAATAATTTCCTGTCTGGTATAAATATTTAACAGTCCTGCTTTAATTTCATCTCATGCCAGTGTATTTGTGTGCACATAAGTTAAGTTTGTACGTGATTGTTCACTGCACAAAATTTCTAAATTTTGTTTTGCTAAACAAAAAAAGAGATAGGATTAATCTCTGGGAGCATTTTGTTAGTAGTATTATTATACAATCTATTTTTAAAAGGCTGCAGGGTTCCTGGCTCTCACGTTATGCTATAAGTGAGATGTCAGATGCAGATAAAGATAGGAGTGATACCTCAACTCCAGTCTATTTCTCCTGCAATTCATGTTAGATCAGGGATATGATTTCACTCAGACTATGTGGCATTATTTGAAAAGGATTCTTTATGTATTTTATTATCTTTAAAATATATGTGTTTTAATAATACAAGTTTCAGAATATTTTTTAGCATAACTTTGTTAATACTAGTGCTGAGCACTCATACAAGGTGTGATTGTGTGAATTTGTGTAATTTAAGAGTAAGGTATTATGCACAGCCTCATTATCTCAGAAGCAGCAATGGGCGGAAAAAGCTGCAGAACTCGGGGGAGGCTCCTTAAACCCTCCTCTGCATTGCATACCCGGTAAGGTCCAGGTGAGATTCATAGATTCTAGGACTGGAAGGGACCTCGAGAGGTCATTGAGTCCAGTCCCCTGCCCTCATGGCAGGACCAAATATTGTCTAGACCATCCCGGATAGACATTTGTCTAAGCTACTCTTAAATATCTCCAGAGATGGAGATTCCACAACCTCCCTAGGCAATTTATTCCAGTGTTTAACCACCCTGACAGTTAGGAGCTTTTTCCTAATGTCCAACCTAAACCTCCCTTGCTGCAGTTTAAACCCATTGCTTCTTGTTCTATCCTTAGAGGCTAAGGTGAACAAGTTTTCTTCCTCCTCCTTATGACACCCTTTTAGATACCTGAAAACTGCTATCATGTCCCCTCTCAGTCTTCAGTTTTCCAAACTAAACAAACCCAATTCTTTCAGCCTTCCTTCATAGGTCATGTTCTCAAGACCTTTAATCATTCTTGTTGCTCTTCTCTGGATCCTCTCCAATTTCTTCACATCTTTCTTGAAATGCGGTCCATCTCTTACGTGCTTTACAACATGAATCAAGGAATTACCACAACATCCTTTGTTCCCCATTTCACAGACAGAGAATCTCAGACAAATAATTCAAGTGACTGGTGTAAGGTTAAAGAGAGAATCAGTATTAAAGGCACAATTAGCACTCAAAGGCCCTTTGCTCTCAATGCTTTGCTCAGATTATACCTGTCTCTCCAATTATACGAGAGAGATTCTTAGATTACAGGTTCACTTGATATTTTCTCTTCCCTGGCTAGTTATCTCTTGCTGCCATTCACAAATATGTTTCCAGTTTCCCCAAGGTTGGGTACCTCATTACTTATTGATCTACCCCACAACCTGAGAGGATTGTTGAGCATCCAGGTTTAAATTAACAAAATTCCTGCAGTATCTGAAGACTACAAAATAAAATAAAGTGGGGACAATACATCTCAGCCTGATTTTGTGGATTATATGTGTGAAATAACACATATAATCCACAATAACATACATACAAGGACAACTAAACCATATCAACAAGATTGCTTGTGGCACCAATTTATGGAGCTATGGACACACACTCAGAGCTGAAATATTTAAAAGAAGTGTGGAGAAAAAACTATTTAAAAAGTTATATAGATCAAGATGGAGCGATGCATGCTGGGAGGGGGTACTCTGAGCAGGCTATACCTATGCATGAGAGAGAGGGGTGGCTGAAATTTATTCAATTTCATGTAGCCCTTGGCTTTCTGGGAAGTTGTTAAGGCAGAAACTTTAGGCCCAATTTACTATTGGTGTAACTGGAGGCATGGGGTTTCTACTGTATTCACTGGGTTATATCTGCATACACCAGCACTGAATTTGACCCATAGGATCAGATTCTGCTCTCCGTTAAACTGTTGTGACTCAAGAGTCATTCCACTGAAGTCAATGGAATTACAACTATGTAAAACTGTTCTGAAAGGAAACAGAATCAGGCCCATCTGTGAATATATACAATTATGAGAAGCTCATTTAGTAAAACTAGCCTAGATGATGGGGTTAAAGTGCAGATACCTGCAGCTCTGTACCATCCTCTAGGGATTTGTAATTATTTTAATTACATGTTCACTTTTGGAAATCATTCTTTTGTTGGTACTACTCAAGATATCATATTCATAAAGCATTCTCTAGGCTGCTGCACATGCAAATCATACCAGCCAATATGATGAGTACCAACGAGCAAGAGTCTGGCTATCAAAAGAGAACCAACAAGACAGTCTAAACAGTGTTTTCCCCAGGAATTTAAATTAGAGGAGGTGTTCAAATTTACAGGGGTGGGGGGCTGGAAAACGTACTGCATGTAACTAACTGGCAACTGGGAGAGGGAGGAGGATGTTCGGGGGTAGGGGGGGTGAATGCAAGAAAATAAAAAATAAAGTGACCAAATGCCCAACCCATAGTTGTGAAGATAGATGAGATCAGACAAATGATCCATTAATCAAGTACAAAGAACACATTTTCACTGGGTTTCAAGAACAGCATATAGATAATTACTTCGATATCAATAATATCTTCAGATATAAATGATTGTGGGAATTCTTTATGTAACATGACACCTTTAGGTAGGTTATCAACAGCGGTAATTGAACCCCAAACCTCTGAATCTAAAAGCATGAGTCTCTACTGCCTGAGGTATAAACAACCCAGTGCTATTAGTTTAAAGCCAGTAGCAAACTTACTATGAGCTCAGAGCATCACACTGTGTTAGGGTGCATTACACTAACATGAGGCCAAATCTTGGCCCCCATTGAAGTCAAAACTCCCATTGGCTTTGATGAAGGCTGGATTTAGCCCATGCACATGGTTGAACTAGTTGCCAAATATGCAGGTGGGAAGGAGTTTTATTGCAGAGCTTATTGACTTGTAGCTTAGACGGGAATGCTTGCCTTCCTCTGATGCAGTGAGCAGGCATCATCTGCTAGGCTCAAACTGACATATCCCATATGATCAATTTCATATGATTATTGAGGTTGGGGGACACTGACAGAACTTGTTCCCATCTTCTGTTTTTATGTAGCAAATGAAGACATTAGATAAGCAGTCTTTTGTGTAGCTTTTTTCAAACATTTCACTCTAAGGCCTTTTCTTATCCACAGTTTAAATCAATGATTCCTTTGTGATTGTTATATTGCCCATGCAAGCAGCTAAGAGAGAAAAAAAAATCAATTTCCTATTACAGGAGGTAGACGCAACCAATTTCATTATGAAAATATGAGTCTATCTGAACAATTTCTGGAAAAGTCATATGCCCACTCACTCTTAACTGTGAGCGTTATACTTTGCATCGCCCACACTACCAGCCAGTTAACTTCTGCCTACAACAAAGAAATAAATCTGCATACAGGCCCTGATTCAACAAAGGACATCCTCAATCCATCCCCATTTAGTGAAACACTGAAGCACATATTTAAGCCCCGTTGACTTCAGAGGGACGTATGCACGTTTTTAACATTATGCACATGCTTTGCTGAATTGGGGCCTACCTGCCAGTCCTGAATCAAGTAGAGTACTGAATAGATCAGCCACTTAAGCTAAATGAGATACACAGGGTGTGCAGCTTCAGATGCCACATAGGAAAACTCATCATAATGTACATTCCATTGATACTTACTGCTTCCCCTTCCCTCCTGCTGCCTCACTGACATTCAAAACTGTTTCTGTAGCTGACAGTAATGCAATGCAATGGGAATGGTTCCAGCTGGATAATCTAACAGTCCTAAACCTTTCAAGCTCAACAATTTAAAGTGACATACGTTATATTTTTATGTACCCAGCAAACCCATCCTGCTGTAGTAGTAAACAACCAAAGGAAGTGACACTGTAGTTAAGTAAAACAGATTGAAATAAATGCTCAATTCCAGTGACAAGGAGTTTTCTTCTTCTTTTTTTGTTTCTGAAGTACTATAAATCTCCACTGCTGTTTACCTTAACACGGTGGCATACTGCTTCTAAAAGTTTCTGAGGGTCCAAAAGTTTTTGTGTCCTCTGCATTTTGAAAAAAAGAAAAAGACTTAGGGTGACCGGATGTCCCGATTTTATAGGGACAGTCCCGATTTTTGGAGCTTTTTCTTACATAGGCACCTATTACCCCCCACCCCGGTCCCAGTTTTTCACACTTGCTATCTGGTCACTCTAGCGAAAAAGTGGACATTATTCAGGCTTTTTCAGTGGACTGGTTCCTCCTCTGCATTTTCTGAATCTGAAAATACATTTAATTTGAAAACTCCCAATCAAACCCTGGAATTATTTGTATTATTATTATTTACATTTTTACATTCAGAATCTTTCCCAAGAACAAAGCAAGAGGCTTGTTGCACAAAGCAAACAGCATGTGGGCTGAAACTGCAAGGCAAGACCACATCCATGCTCCCTTATCAACTATATTACTACTTAACCTGGGGGGCAATGTACACCAGGGCAAGTGATTTCCTCATGACATGTTATTGTGTGAGAGTCAGAGCCCTTTAGTGATCCAAAGCAAAGGTAAGTGAATTTCTATATATTCTGGAAAATGCAGGTAAGGAAGTCTAGTGCAAAGCAGTTACAATTTACAAGCAACAATGCAGGGTCCTTTCTTCACACTAAGAATTTCTTATAAACAACTTCTACACTGATTAAGAAGTCCTTTCAATCAATTACTATATTAGACTCTGTCCTCTGATTAACAGTAACCTTGCCTCTAATAAAACAGAATTAGAAATCTACTTCTAATTGTTTCTCTAGGCCATGCCACTCATTTTTGTCTTCTATGGGGAGTTCTGCACCTCGATGTTAGCGATCACTGAAATACAGCCAGCCTCCTATGGGATGGAAGATGGCAGGCAGTAAGCAGCTCACAACACGACTATACAAGAATCAGGACACAGAATGAAGTATACCCTATCCTGACCAGACAATTGATTTGAGATACAGAACCCGATTCTTCTCTCACACCAGTTTTATACTGTGATGTCAAAGGAGATATTCCTGATTTACACAGGGGTAGATGAGAGGAGGAGAAGGCCCACTGTCATATAATGATTCAAATGAAAACTAAATAAATGCCCTTCCTTAAATAAGAACATGCATCTTACCCACATAAAGAGGAGGGAAAGCCAAGGAGATGAGGATGTCTGCCATGGCCCTTACTCTCCATATAGCTAATTCTGGAAGCTCTTCATGTCAGAATTCTTCTCTTCATTCTTGCAATGAGCTGCTTCAGATACGCTACTGCACTTGAATTCTCAAGCATCCAAGAAGAGACCCCTCCGACACATAAACCCTTTAGGATCATGGTGCCCGTGCAACAAACAAATCAGTGAATGCATTTGTCCCGGAGTGCCAGCTCTTGAATGATTCACTCTACATTTAGATGAAGTGCTCTCCTATAATTATAGTTGCTTGTTGGTCTCACTTGCCTCCTCCCTTCTATCTCTCTCCTCAAGCCCCAGGCTCAGCTAGAGAACACTGAATCACTCTTTAGTATAATTAGGGTTTCAACTAAATTCACGGCTTGTTTCTCTGTCCATTTGGGAGCCTGATAAAAAATTCCCAAACCAAGACCCTAGCCTGGAACAATAAAGACCTTTGGGAAAACTTGAATCTGGATCCAGATCTAATTTCAAATAAATAAGTTAAATTAAGTTTGGACTCTTTGGCCCTGAGAAAACAAGAGGGAAGGGGGAATGATATAGACAATTAATGTTTTGAATTGCACCATCTTATACATGGTAGGTACTGCAATGAATAAATACTGTAAATGGATTTCCTAGACAGGCAGAGTTTGGCTGAGCAGATACAGCACTGGATTGGGACTCAAGAGACCTAGTACTAATTTGGACCTACCATTGGTAAACTCTGTGACTACAGGTAAATCACCATGCCTCAGTTTCTCTACCTTTTAAAATTGGGATAATGACACTGCCCTCTTTTGTAAAGCACTTTGAGATCTATGGATGAACATCATTATATAAGTATCAGAGGGGTGGCCGTGTTAGTCTGGATCTGTAAAAGCAGCGAAGAGTCCTGTGGCACCTTATAGACTAACAGACGTATTGGAGCATGAGCTTTCGTGGGATGCATCCGACGAAGTGAGTATTCACCCACGAAAGCTCACGCTCCAATACGTCTGTTAGTCTATAAGGTGCCACAGGACTCTTTGCTATCATTATATAAGACTCATTAAGTATGAAGGGAGTGGCAAGCATTGGTCTGCTTTATCAACTGAGCCCCATCTCCACCCGATCTGTGATAGTTAGTGGTAAACTCTAAGGGTGATATCCTGGCTCCATTGAACTCCATAGGAGTTTTGCTATTGACTCCAGTAGGGCCAAGATTTCATGCTACGAATACAGAGATGGCTCTTCCTTCTTTGTACCTGCTAGCTCACTGGAAGACTGGGATCAGGCATGTGGAAAGTGAAGCATTCATGTGTTGGAAAGTGCAATCAGTTTAGCCTTCCAGCCTGGCCATGCTTTGGGATATTTTCTGTTTGTTTGCTTATGAAAAAGGGGGGAATGCTTTGTTCAAAGGCTGGGACCAAATCCTGCTACCACTGAAATGAATGGCAAAACTGCCCCTGAATTCTAGGAGTGTGGGTTCTGTTCCCAGATTTTTAGGTGCGCTGAGTCAGATTCTCAGCCGATATAAAGTAACATAGTTCCATTGAGATCAATGGATCAAAGCTGATTTATATTAACTAGGAATATGGCCCATTACTTTCCCCCTCCATTTTTCCATATAGGTTGCTTTTTCTCCATCAGCATAGATCTGTGGATCTTGTAAAAGATGGGACTTACCACTCCTGTAGGGTTATGAAAAAATGAGGCCTTAATTCTAGGAGGCTTCTGTGTGTCCAAACAGGAAATTCCTGAACTTAGAGGCACTTAGCCTGAGCTCAGTCAGCAATGAAAGAAACATACTGTCTCATGTATCTCACACTAACAGCCGTGTAACCCTGTTGGACGCCTCTCATCTGCCAACTGCCTGCCTCTTTTTTATGGCACACAGCTATTGCATTTCAGTTTTAAAATATTATAATTTTGTGAGCACAGTGTGGCTAGGCACCTCACAGAAACATAGCCCTTGCCCCAAAGTAGATAACACAACAGAGGGTGTCATAAACAAACAATAAAGGAGTGAGGGAAAAGAGAAGGAGCATGAGAACAACAATATCACATGGTAACTATGGCTTGGTCTACCGTTAAAAGTTAGGTTGAAAAAAACCACACCCTTCACTGACATAACTATGCTGATCTAACCGGAAGTGTAAATGCAGGTATGTTGAGGGAAGAATTCTTCAGCTAATGTATCAGAGGGGTGGCCGTGTTAGTCTGGATCTGTAAAAGCAGCAAAGAGTCCTGTGGCACCTTATAGACTAACAGACGTATTGGAGCATGAGCTTTCGTGGGTGAATACCCACTTCATCGGATGCATGTCACGAAAGCTCATGCTCCAATACGTCTGTTAGTCTATAAGGTGCCACAGCACTCTTTGCTGCTTTTACAGCTAATGTAGCTAACTTCATTCAGGAAGCTGATATTCCTGCACCAAAGGATTATGCTGGCCTAGCTAAGCCAGCAACATAGTTATGCCGGTATAGTCTCTGGAGTGTAGACATAACCTATGTGAAGTCCAGAAACATCTTGATGGTCTTGTTAAACGACAGTTTTTTTTAAATAAACTCCCTTCTCATGGGTGACATTTCTTTCTCGGAGGGATTCAGGTGTGACTTAGTGTCAAGGGCTAGGGCAGCACGCGAGGACTTTGGTTTTGTAGAAGGGAATGAACATGGCACCAAGGTAAGTGCCATTGGAAGAATGCCAGAGGACAGGAGGAATGTGAAAAAAAAGAAGCTCAGAGATAATGGTCAGGAATGAGTGACCTTGAGAACAAAGACTGGAAGCTTGCATGCTTCTTATCTGATGAAAACCTTAGTAGCTTCTTACTACATAAAGAGCCTGGGATATTAGCTTCTAAAAGAAGGATAGCCTGTAAAATACAGGATGGATGGTTGCTTAGTGAGAGGCCTAGGAAGATGCAACTGGTCTCTGTGATCTGTGGCAGGCTACAAGGTTTAAAAAAAAAAAAGCCTGTGTGTTTGTGTATCTCATTTTACCTTTCTTCAACCTCTGACAACGTTACTGTTCTAAAAGCTGGCATTTGGAGCTATTGCTTAACAAATAAAATTCTGACTGCACGCAGTAACCCAAGCAGGAACTTTGTCTTGACTTCTAGAGACTACACAGTACAGTATCAACATTTTAGCAGTAATGAGTAGGGTGACCAGATGTCCTGATTTTATAGGGACAGTCCCGATTTTTGGGTCTTTTTCTTATATAGGCTCCTATTACCCCTCACCCCCTGTCCCGATTTTTCACACTTGCTTTCTGGTCACCCTAGTAATGAGGCAAACTGAAGTCCCAGTCCTACGAGATGCCAAGGCTCCCAGCCTCAACGGCCACTGACGTCAAGCAGAGTTGGAACATAAAAGCTGCCATAATAGGTCAGATCATGGATGGTCTATCTTGCACAATATTTTGTCTCAGACAGCAGCCCATTGCCCGTACCAAAGCTTTAGGGGAGGCAAGTATACAGAACAGGGCAATTATGGAGTGATCTGCCCCATCTTCCCCTCCTGGCTTCTGGCAATCAGAGATTTAGTGTCACCCCAATCATGGGGTTGCGTCCCTCACCATGCTGGCTAATATCCATTGATGGACCTATCCTCCATGAATTTATCATCCAGTTCTTTTTTGTACCCAATTATACTTTTGGCTATCATAACATCTCATAGTTCCACAGGTTATTTGTGTGTTGTGTATCTCCCTATCGCAAGTTATGCCAATCCCTTAAAGAAAGAGAGGCGTTTCTGAGAGAAACTTTGGTGTAGCCTGCCTGGAGAAAGAACCTATGGTAATAATCAATAAATATTGTAAGTGTGGAAAATTTCTAGTATTATTATTTATTAAGGCTACAGTATTATAGTAACTCTTAAAGGCCCAATC